CAGGCAGCGTGGACAGTGAGAGAGACAGAGAGAAAGGTCTTCCTTTGCCATTGGTTCACCCTCCAATGGCTGCTGCGGCCGGCACACCGCGCTGATCCCAAGCCAGGAGCCAGATGCTTCTCCTGGTCTCCCATGCAGGTACAGGGCCCAAAGACTTGGGCCATCCTCCACTGCACTCCCTGGCCACAGCAGAGAGCTGGCCTGGAAGAGGGGCAACCGGGACGGAATCCGGCACCCCGACCGGGACTAGAACCCAGGGTGCCGGTGACGCAGGCGGAGGATTAGCCTAGTGAGCCGCGGCACCGGCCCCAAAAGCCACATATACACACCTGCGGGACCCACCCCTGGATAAAGTCAGGATCCCCTCAAGTGCTCCAGACAGTGCGGCGAGGGTCTTCCCGCTCAGCCCACACCGTCTCACACAGCGCGCACTGCTCTCTGCTGTTTCTCTGTTGGGAGAGTTCTCAGACAGAAGCGCACGGTGTGCAGCGCTCTGCTGGGCCTCTTCACCCAACAGGACTGCCAGAGGCGCACAGCCTGCTGTCTGCGGTACCAGCTCACCCTGCTTCGGCTGAGCGGAAAGCCCCACCCTGGCTCATCCATTCTTCCGTGGCTGCAGGTTCACACGAGGGTCCTTCCCAGATCTTGGGTATTGCGGCTAACGCTGCTATCCTGCGCGGGCTTTCGCTCTATGCTGGGTAAACCCCTGGGGTCGAGCTGCTGGGTCTTGGGTGGTGCACTTCTCTGAGACGAATCCCACAGTTCAGCGGGCATGTGTGAATCTCCACTTAAGCGGTGCCCGATGGAATTTCTTTGTCCATTAAAATGACAGGGCTATCTGTCTTGAGTTGCAGGTTTTTTCCGTTTTCTAGAAGTCATTGGTCAGATAGACACACTGTACATATTTTCTCGCTAACTATTTGCCTAGTGGTGGCCCTTGATGATGTAGGCTAATTTTCATCAAGTCTGTGTTATTATTTTTTCTTTTATGACTATGCTTTCTGGCTCCTAAGAAACCCTCACCTATTCCAAGGCTGGGACATTTTTCTGCTTCACTTTCCTACAGAAGTTTTGTAACTTTAGTTTTTACATTTAGGTTTCTTCTCCACCTCTAACTTTCATTTTGTTTAATGCAGGCGAGAAAATTTCCTGGCTACAGCATTTGAGAATGCTTCTACTTAGAGTAACATCTCACTGCACCGACCAGAACCGCAGGAGACGCCCGCGACTGCTGGGCCTTCAGAAGCTCTGGCCCCAGAGCGGTCAGGCTGTTGCCTTGGGGAATCTCCAGAAAAATGGGCACAGAAAACGCAGCCAAAGGAGGACAGCGGTTTTCAACCAGGCGTGATTCTGCCCCACGGTGGACACGTGGTAACACCCGAGACACTTCGGGTTGTCACTGGGTAGCGGGGTCCTGGCATCTGCAGCGTGGGCCGGGGGTGCTGCTGGCCACTCTGCAGCGCACAGGGCGGCTCCCTAAAGGGAACCATGTGGCCACAGGCCCAACAGCAGCTGGGCCAGGAGCCCAGTCCTCCCTGGAGATGCGGCCTTGGGGGCCGCCCTCTCACGTGCCCGCTTT